TACTACTACTACTACTACTACTACTACTACTACTACTACTACTACTAACTACTACGACTACCACTACCACTACCACTAACACTAGTACCACCTCTACTTGGTTGTGGCTCATTTTGTGGTTTGCATCTTGGATGATTACAGACTGACTGGCAATAAAATAGGGTTTACAACCATCATGACCTGCAACCAACAAGGCTCCGAAGCGAAGTCAACAGCACCCACAGCAGCAGGAACTGGCAACAACTGGCAGCAACCCACCCACAGCGCCCGCACATGACATCACCCTTACAACAAAACGCAATCACACAATACCCAAATTAGCGGCACCACGCACCACCTTGCCTGCAAAACGCAAAGCAAGAAGTCGAAAACGCCCCACCCATTGCAGCGGCACCTGACAGCGCCGTGTCTCCAAAACAGAAACGCCAACCATAACGGCAGCTTAAAAGCTGACCAAGCGGCGTTAAGATGGTCAAACCAACGGCCGAATACGTGCGTTTATCCTTCCGCTTCTCCATAGCAACCCAGCACCCCTAGCAGCGGCGCCTGGCAGCACCCCACACCTCCTGGCCTACCTCCGTTTCGATTATGGTTGGGGTGGATGTGAGGGGGGTCCCATCCAACCACCTTCTGTTGGAGCACTGGTTGGAGCCAAAACGATAGTCTCTGCCTTGGATACCCAACAATGCAAAGGCCAGCGTGGCTGCGAAGGTGATCGTTGAAAGCGACAGCCAAATCAGTGTGAGTTTCCTCACACAAAGCCGGGTGAACGCGTCCGATTGACAAGTCCGGGAGCTTTCCCTTCCACCGATGTGTCACAGAAACGACTTACTGAGTGAGCTTGGAATGTTGAACCACTGATAGAGCATGTCAGTCAACATTCCAAGCTGATGAACCAGTCAGGTAGACTTTAAACTCTTGGAATGTCTGGTAGACTGATGCCTCGGCATATGAGTGACATTCTGAGACACAACCAATCATCGGATCACTCCTATCCATCTGGGACAAAAGTGTTCTGGCCAAAAATGATTACTCTTCTTGCCGTTCAAAGCAGGACTGGGTGGAAAACCGGTGGGAATCTGATTCACAGAAAGCGTCTGGGGAGTGACGAGGTCGGCCACAAAGCAAACCAATGCCATGCCAAAGACCACCAGCATTAATAGCGCCACCATCTTGGTCATGACCTTGAGAATGAAGCATCGCTCATCAGTAGACCTCCAACAAATCACGCAAATCCTCAGGTGTGATTCACTGACCTCTTAACTGCCAGTCAGTCCATGGGCTCACAGTCCAAAAAAAATCGGAAAAGGAAAGAATACCAATGATACATTCACCATTCACCTCACTTTCGGGGTGGCCTGCGGTTGATAATATCACCGCGTTTTCTTGAGACGACCCTCAGCCATAATTAAGGACTATTGGGGTATAGAGCAATGGTGCTAAAACCAAGAACTTACCTTTAATTGCAGGTATCACAAAAACATCAAACCATCCCTCGTCGAAAGCTGATGATTGCTCTTCTTTGAAATAAGAACTCTTGGATCTCTGGAGGCTCAACGAGGCTCAACGCCAAGCGAAGGAGGACTGAACAGGCTGACAGGAGCATGGACACCAGGAAACGAGTGCCACGATAATCCTAGGACACGCGCGGACACGCGCGACGAGTCATGGCAGGGATGGCACCAATCGACATACACAAAACATCACAAAACAAAACAGACTTAAATACAAACACATCTTGTTGTGTTCTTTTTTGCGGGACCCAAAACACTTATTTGTTTAACCTGTGGACCACAGGATGCTTAAAAGTGCCACCGTGAAAACGTTTGCTGAGGACGCATGTGGAGAGGCTAAGAGCTCCAGCAGTAAGAAGCCCGTCATACAGAGATCGCAGGGCCCCAAGCAAATCACCGGACAGCTGATCTCCTTTGGTGGTACAGACAGGAGCAATGAAGAATCCATGCATCCTCAGATCATGCTAGGATTTACTGAGCGGCGAAGCGAATGGAGTTGAAACCTGATTGATTCCTATGCCATGCAGAGTGATGCGGAACGGCACGCGTTTGCTTCATCCAACGAACCGAATCGATCCCAACACCTGACGCCACCCGTGACCTGCCACCCGTTCGACCGGTGTGTCTCCGAGTAGGCGGCGTACTCGATCTCCACGCCCGCCCCCGCGATCTCTCGCAAGGCGGGGCTGGACATTCCAGCCGTCCTGAGCGCGCTCCAGAGAGACGGACGGTCCGGGAGAGTGGCTCGGTGTAAAAACAAAGGAAGAGCTCCAACAACAAGTGCCATCCAGGATGCCAAAAGCCTTTTGGAGGCCTTTTGGAAGACACATGTGTTTGGATTTGGCACAAGCATGCCACAACATTCATGGCTAAGGCAAAGGACTTCATTGAGCTACAGGGCAGGTGAGCTGGTGGACAAAATACTGGTACGAAAATCATGATCCCAACAGCAAATCGTGCGATTTACAAGCGGCGGTCTTCATGTTTGGTGGCGGTGGTGGCGATGGCGGTGGTGGTAGTAGTAGTAGTAGTATAGTAGTAGTAGTAGTAGTAGTAGTAGTAGTAGTAGTAGTAGTAGTA